AAATACTTATATAAATCAATTGCTGAAACAACTTTGTTATTTAAAGCAAAAATAGTTATATCATATATTTCTGAAGGACTACAGTTTAAAATAACTTGTGGTAATATATGTAACATTACTTTGGCAAACATTACAATTTAACATAAGTAAACTAGAATTTACAAAAAAAAAGAAAAAAAGTAACAAATGTAATCACCTCTCCATAAGTCACAATAATGTCACTGTTGATAATCAGCCAATCAGCAACAACTTTGATACCTGGCAAAAGTCCTTCTTGGTTGATGATTTTAATGACTTCAACTAATGGGAGTGTCAATTCCTGTTCCACTAGAGACCTATATATAGGATAATATTACTCAAAAAGATATTATGGTATTGGCTATATCCAAAGATTGACAAAAATATTCATTATGTTAAAATACTTTGCAAAACAAAAGTGCTTAAACTGAAATACCGGACACTACAGGACACTTATTTTTTACCAATCTTAACGGAAAACAATCAGAAAAACTTACAGAGGAGTCACTATTCCAGAAACAGAATATTTTTCCTCAGGTTTACTCTGCATATCTCCATTTGGCAAGTGTGCCTTATCTGTATTATCTTTATCTTCCAATGACGCTGACACGTTGCTATAGAAACAGAAAAACATTCTCGTAACTTAAAATGTCTATTTATATGACTACCAAGTTCTCATAATTAAATACTCATTTTAAATACATTTTTTTATCTCTTCAGGCTTGCATACCTCAGATGAAAGATTATCAGTGTTCTATTTGAAAAACTTTGATTATCACAAAATAACAATAATGAACTAACACAATGTGAAGTGTACATCAAACTCAGCATCTGTGTACAATTTTCTGCAAACTGAAAAACAACAACAACTAAACTACAGTGATTAGTGGAATTTGATAATCAATTGTATCAAACTAATTGATTACTCTCACAATACTTGGATAGTTGGAATAATCGACAACAGTAATAATCAGATACAGTAATTTGATCAATTGATTATTTTTATGACATTAATCGATTTTATCATAATTCCTATTAATCAATTACTTTATGTGGCATTATTTGATGTTCATAGGTAGTTGATTATATTGATTAATTAAGTTAAATGTCCGGTTCTATATCTGTATACGGCTAAGAGAACCTGGTGTTAAAATTTAACTATTACACTTGCTGCCACAGTTTACTTGCTTACAGCTATTCAAGAATTTGTGTAATTTCATTCAGAAACTGTATACTTTCACCAATGTTGACAATTATTACCTTTTGCTAATACAATCAAGTCCATTTTGCACAACTGACTTATCACTGGTCAAGTTTTTTACCAGCCCTCCGTTACAGTCAACGGCAGTGCCAGTGATACTCTCAATACCAAGTCCACTGTGCTCACCACAGTCACTCAATTCTTCCTCTTCGACTCCATGTTCAGTTACACTACCACTGGTGCAGCTAGCTGTGTCACTGCTGTTCTTCTCTTCTAAGTCTGACTCGGAGTGACCTGAAGGATTGTTTTTATAATGCAGAGAAATTAATTTCTCATTAATAATGACAATTCTATATTTATACTGTTATTTAATCAAAAATATGAATGGGTTTGAAATAGTGAAAAAAATCTGTAATCAATGTGAATGATGAAAACTTAGAGGTCCTAAACAGCACAAGTACACTGTATACTGTACATCTAAAGGTACAAAGAAATTAAAAGATTTACATCAGGATTCTCCTTACAAGTTGTACTAGAATAGTTCAATTTTGTCGTCTTTGCCATTTTTGCGACTTCTAATGTGTCAGTTACAATTATATTTCCATGTTTTTTGTCACATTTTCAAGGTTTTTTCAGCAATCTCTCTTTTATGGCTATTTAGGTATAATATTTTGTAATTTCTCAAGTGCTTTAGAATTCTTTATCACGGAAATCAGGGTTTCTCAAAGTGGTTGATATAGATCCCCTGGGGTTGATGAGACTGTACAGAAGGTGAATAAAGACAAGAGTCAATAGGGAACCAGAAATGGCTCCTAGGGTAAGGTTGGCCTATGCATCTAACTGTGCTACACCTTTCCAAGTTCGTACGTGGTCGAAGCTGGATTTAGCCATGTGAATGGTCAGGCATCTGAGCAAATAGAGGAACAGATTTAACATTGAAGAACACAGGGACTTGAGACTTAAACTTACAAACCTACAGCCCAATATTCATACACTTGTTAAAGCCCATCAGGCCAATCTATCTCCTTAGAAAAAATTTAAACCTCATTCTTTTTTACATTTTATGTTTCCTAACAATTGTATTATGATGAATAAACATTGATTATATATTGTAGTTTCTTGACTATGAAGTTTTGTTTATGATTTATATTCTAAGAATTCTAAGTTCATCAAGGGTTCAACAACTCAAAAAGGTTTTTGCTGTTCTGTACTGGACATAGTTGTGGTGAAGTCTGTCACTTGGTAAATATTATTAATAACTTTAATACATTGTGAGGCTTTCTGAGAATCTATTGCAAATTATAAAAAGATTTGTTTGTTTGTAGTTAAGCACAAACAAATGGGCTATCTGTGCTCTGCCCACCACGGGTATTGAAACCCGGTTTCTAGTGTTGTAAGTCCGCAGACATACCGTTGTGCCACTAGGGGGGGGGGGGGTATATAAAAAAAGTTATGTTCAAAGTATAAAAGTAGTTATCATAAAGAACGTAATAACATGGAACAATTTTAAACAGAAATAATACAGTCATTTAGACGCTTTAAAATATATACTTTAAAAGTACTGTTTAATGCCTTTCTGACATAAATAATAATATCACAAAATTTGTGGGACATATTACTAATGACCATACAATGTGTTTTATGGTAGAGAGATATTTCATACAAATAAAATTGAAGATTAGCAATTCTGATAATTTCTAAAGATAAAAATATCACCGTTGTGAAATATCTTAACCAGTCACAAACTGAAGTGGTGAAATGTATGAAAATCTTGAAGAACATTTATTTGGAGGAAAGTAATGTTACACTATCGTCATTGTCAAATTTCTACAAAGCTTCGTTAGCATTTAATCATTTTTATGTTGTAAAGGATAATTGTCACAATTTATCTTAAATTCTTAACATAAAGGGTGTTTTATCACTTCACTATGAATAATTTACAAGTATAATGTTTTACGTACTTCCAGACATGAAAGTCCATTATCCGGACTTCCAAACAACTTGTATAGCATTAGGTATTTAAATGATTTAACTTCTGGTCAAACAAATAGACAAATACCCAAACTCAAACCTACAGCTTCTATATAATTGCATTTTTATATGTTTACAAAATATAATTTCAGGAAAGTTTTAAATGGTGTCACATCTGTGCTAATGCATAAACACCATAAACATTTAAACCTAAATGCTCAGGAAAGCCAATTTGACACACTAAAAACTATGCCCAAATACAACTAGTAACAGTGAAGTCTCTGTGAATACTTTTTTAAAACTGTAAAAATAGAACAGCTATGTTTGTACAGATAGTTGGTCTTTCTTGACACTATTTATAAGCCTGACAAAAAGGCATACATGCTCAAAATATAATGCAAATAAATACATTTTTATTTAGACATATCATTAACCTTTTTCAATAATTGTTTTAATACTTTCCATATCTTCTGGCTTTTTCTGTTACAAAGATTTACTAGTAACTTAAAATTGTGATATTTTACAAAGGTATCACTGTTGCAGTTGTCAGACTAGTTTAAAATATTTTTGCTAATAATATTTTTGGATTAGATCAACTTATCCCCAATAAATATAGTTTAATTTCAATAAATAACAGGTTCTTTTACTATTTTTTGATTGATTGTTTAGGCAGAGTATTCATGATGAAACTTGGTTGAATGGATGGCAACTGCCTGTTGTAGAAACACAAGTATAGACGACGATTTTTCGAAAGTCTTCTGTCTGAAGACAAAAGATTTTCAAAACATTATTGTCTACACTTGTGTTTCTACAACAGGCAGTACCCATCCATTCAACTATGTTTCATCAAGTTCTTTTACTTATTTATGTTATTTGAATGCAATAAGCTTAACAAAAGTATTCAATAAATAATGATTTGAGTCATCATGATATTTTGGTGTACTCTCTAAATTTAACTAATGTCTAGTCATAGAAGAAACTTTTCATAGCTTTCAAGCAGATATAATTTAATACAAAAACATTTTTTAAGAATGAAAAGTACATCTAAAGAAACTAAAAAAATTCTCAGATCTGCAGTTTATTTCCATGTTTTCTAAACTTCTCCCTTTGTTCATCTCTAAGGACCTCTGCTAACTAATTTTCTTATTAAAAACACAAATTACTGCTTAAATATTTTACTTGCTTCACACTTGATACAAATAGTTTATACTCTGCTCTATCCAATGATATTTAAACTTTGCGTGTAGCTATTCTCAAAGCTGTTCTTCATTAGTGATTGTTCAGGCTACATGTGACATTATAAAAAGGTGGGAACAAAAGATTGTAATAATAAAACCTCAATACATAGAAGAACAATCACAAAACAAACAGGAAATTTTTAATTATAATCTCAAAGTATGACAGTTTCTTTAACTACATAAATTTTTTTTAGGGGATGGAAAGAAAATTTGAAAATAATCTATAGGTGCATTGTTTAAACGTAAGACTCCTCAGAGCTGTACAGAAATACAAGTTTCAATTTCTTAAAATTTTCTTTGCAATTTATACTGAAACAATGTTACAAAATGATAAAATACCAATTCTAAAACATTTTTGAGTTAGACAATGTTGAAGTTGAGTTTTGTTTGATAACCATATTGGGTACAAATACTGGTAATCTTTTCCCCTTTTATTAACTGAATTTGTAGTCATCTACTTTGATTTCACCTTGTAGTTTAATTAAAATAAAAATATTTTAATACCTTCACTTAATTCTGAATCTTCCTGACTAGTACTACTTTGTTTTCTTCTCCTAGGCACTCGGCGACGTGACAGAGATCGTTCCTTGATTTTCTTCTTTACAAACCTCTGATAAAAAGAGAAATAAATATTACAACACTTATCAATGGTAGAAAAAAACAAAACTTTAAAAATTTACTAGTAATAAGCAAAACAGGTTTCTTCCCAGCACATCACTACCCCAAGTCACAAAATTCCATTAACTATTTCAGCATGAGGTCGGTCCCTCGGACCGACCTCATAATCATTTTGTGCTTTTTATAGTTTTTCATGCTTTAACTTTTAAATTAGTAAGTGTATGTTAAAAAAATTTGGCAGATTATCAGTAAACATTACAATGCTTTCATACACAAAATATCAAATTTTTTATTAAGTCTTAAAGTTTGTAAAGCAATGTTTTTCTCATGTCTTTTTTCTTTTAGCATGTTGCCTATCCGTCATGCAAAGTAATTTTCATATTAACATTAAAAATACTTT